TTTTCTCTTGGGGTGTGTTCTCATGGGATCCTAAGCCTATATATATATATATATATATATATATATATATATATATATATATATATATATATATATATATATATATATATATATATATAGAAGGGGTCGGGGAGGGTTTCCCGTGCGGTTGTGCGGTTGGACGCACTTTAAGTACACAACACACACACATTAAGCACACAAACAAAACATCTTAAGAACACAAACCCACGCACCTTAAGCACAAACCTCATGCACCTTAAGCACAAAACTCACGCACCTTAAACACAAAACACACGCACCTTAAGTTTCAACAACTACTCACATTAAGCACAAAACTCACGCACCATAAGCACAAGACACTACTACAAAAAAAGGCCTTTAACGTCGATTTTTTGACCCCATTTAACGTCCATTTCATTCGACGTCGTCCTTCTAAACGTAGTACATAACAGATACGACGTCGGTTAAAAATCGACGTCGTATATATATATTTTTAATTTAAAAATTAACTTACGACATCGGCTATTTGTATAAAGCTGACGTCGTATTTTTTTTTAAATAAATAATATACGAAGTCGGTCTTTTAGCTAAGGCCGACGTCGTATTTATTTTTAAAAAACTAATAATTCACTTACGACGTCAGTTATTTGTATAAACCGACGTCGTAAGTGAATTATTACGTTTTAAAAATAATACAACGTTGGATATTTAGTAAAACACCAACGTCGTATATATTGTTTTTAATATTAAAATTATTTTATGATTTCTACCAACACCTGTAGAGTTTTACAATTTTAATTCACATCAACTTTCAGAACTTGTGCATCAATTTAACATTCAACATCAACTAATAAACATAAACCAATTTGAAATTAATATAAATAACACAATTCATTAAACTAATTCAAGCTACTAAACATGAAACTAATATAAATAACACAATTCATTAAACTAATTCAAGCTACTAAACATAAACTAGTTTGGAACTAATAAATAACACAATTCATCAAGCTAATAAACATAAACTAATTTTAAACGTAAATTATCAACTAAGAAGCGTTTTATTAACCCATTCATTAATAAGAAACTTAGACCATTTGTCTCTAACTTCATCAATCTCTTGTTTGTTGTAAGGCAATCTTCCTTGTCTTTCCTAAGTCTACATAGTTCAAAAGAAATAAAAATAATAAAATAAGCAAGTATTTTTAAAAATTTGAAGGAGAAAGATATATTATTAAATTACTTGCCTTATCCATTCCTTTGCATAGGTTATTGGAAACAATTTCCAACATGAATTTCATCACATAATAGCCACATTCGGTAGTTCCTTTTTGTATAGCACAATACATTTGAATTACAATAAAATTAAAAAAAATAATTAAAAAAACAATAAGCTTGCATGTTTTACAAAGCAAATGAAGTACTTACTGAACATGTAATCCATTTCAGTGAATGATTTTGTTTCTTTCTATTCAACATGCTTATTGCAGCCATACACCTATTAATATAAGACATAAAATATATGTAAATACTTGGCATCACTAGTTTAATAATAACTAGTAATTATTTATATAAATTTATATATGTTTCCGTTATATGTTTAATGTCTTCACGCGGCCCATGACCAAGTGAATCAAACCAATAAATTTCATTTAGTTGAGGACAAATCGCCATCAGCATCCAATGCTCACTACAAATAAGTAATTTATTAGTTTTAAGTGAATATAATATATAATAGAAGTATATTATATATAAGTACTTTTATTTAAAACGTAATTAATACTTACTTGAGAATATATGGGGCTAAATATACAAATTTGTTCCCATATTGCATGGTGACATTTATATACAATTTCCTCTCATCTGTACTATTTATTTTTGCACTACAAGAAAAATGCACATAGACAACACTAGAAAGACAACAGTTTTTAAGAAAAGTGTTGTCTTTTGTATAAAAGACAACAGTTTGGTCCAAAACTGTTGTCTTTGATACAACACTTTTGTCAAAGACAACGGTTTTTACTTAACCGTTGTTGTAAGTGTGTTGTTGTCTTTGTGCATTTTGTGAAAAGACAACACCACAACGACAACGGTTTTTTAAAACCGTTGTCTATGTGCGTTTTTTTTTTAAAAAAAGACAACGGTTTTTTTAACCGTTGTCATTGGTGTGTTGTCTTTAAGCGCACTGGAATACACAACACTAGAAAGACAACGGTTGTTTAAAACCGTTGTTTTTGTGCGCTCTTTTTTTTTAAAAAAAAGACAACGGTTTTATTTAACCGTTGTCGTTGGTGTGTTGTCTTTAAGTGCACTCGAATACACAACACTACAAAGACAACAGTTTTAAAAACCGTTGTCTTTGCGCATTATTATTTTTTAAAAGACAACGGTTTTATTTAACCGTTGTCATTTATGTGATGTCTTTAATAGAACTTGAATACACAACACTACAACGACAACGGTTTTGTATAACCGTTGTCGTTGCGCGTTCTTTATTTGTTTAAGGCAACAGTTTTATTTAACTGTTGTCTTTGGTATGTTGTCTTTAAGCGTATTTGAATACACAACACTACAAAGACAACGGTTATAAAAAACTGTTGTCTTTGCGCATCATTGTTTTATAAAAGACAACAGTTTTGTATAAAATATAAACAACAAAAGTCGAACCTATGACCTCAAATATAACAAATAAGGTTTAACCAACTAAGCAACACAAACTCTTATGTATGAAAGTGCAACATCTGGTATATTACTGAGTTGCTTCTGTGTTGTCTCACTTATGTACTTAAGCGCAACATCTAGGATATAACCAGTTTGCTTCTGTAAGACAATGATTGTACCTAAGACCTCTAACATAACACACAAAGTTAAACCCATCAAACCACACCACCCCTTGTTTATTAAAGTGTTACACCTTATCTTTTACTTATAATTTTGGGCTGTCAGCTTTGACCTGCGGGCACTTTAACAGAGAAAGAATACAATTCAAAAGTTAATTTAATTGTTATATTTTCTTTCATATTTAAATATAAAATTATTCACCAAAATTCCAATTTCAATTCATTAAAGTTTTATTTTCAATTACAATTAAGACCAATCTATGTATTACTACCCATGTTATTGTAAGCAACTGTTCTATTGGTGGAGTAACTAATTTTTACTTATATTGAATCTAAGTAAATTCTCTCCTTTAAATGTTAGGTATTTGGTGGAGCAACTGTTGCATACTTTTCCCACTTTTTTTTTGTTTCTTTGTATCAATTCTATAGCATCAATGGTTCACTTTTATTCTTGTGTAGTGTATAAATACCTCTCATGTTCGCATTTCTTTGTAAATTTATTATATCTATACTAATTTATTTACTCACTTTTTACATGTAGTTCCAACAAGTTGATTATGACAAAGCGGTTATTGATCTGGTGCGTTCAGAATGGGCCGATATTCTATCAAGTTATATAGAGTAGGTATGATTTGACGTTGTAATCATTTAGACTTGGTTCGTAGAATTGTTTTTTGTAGTATTATGACTTGGATGATGATTCGATTAGAATTGGTAATGAAAGTATTTTGACTTGTTATTTTGAACCTTGCTTAGCTTCTTCAAAATTATGTAACTACACTTGGCCATGGTGAATGGATAAATTGATTTTTTTTATATGATTAAACTTTAAGCAGGTTAAAAATGGGTTGAGACAACGGTTAAAAACCGTTGTCTATTTTACAATAGACAACAGTTTGAAACTGTTGTCTTTTTTACAAAAGACAACAGTTTATGGGCGTGACTTTTAACAACAGTGATTTCAACAACACACAATAGACAACTGTTTATAACTGTTGTCTTTTAAAGAAAAGACAACAGTTAAAAACCGTTGTCTATGTGCATCACTTTTAAAAACACCGGTTTCAACAACATTGAATAGACAACAGGTAAAAAACTGTTGTCTTTTTTAGAAAAGACAACGGTTAAAAACCGTTGTCTATGTTCGTGACTTTTAACAACACTGATTTCAATAACACTTAATAGACAACGGTTAAAATACCGTTGTCGTTTATAGAAAAGACAACGGTTAAAAACCGTTGTCTATGTGCATGACTTTTAACAACTCCGGTTTCAACAACACTTAATAGACAACGGTTAAAAAAACCGTTGTCATTTCTAGAAAAGACAACGGTTATTAACTGTTGTCTATGTGCGTGACTTTTAACAACACCGGTTTCAACAACACTTAATAGACAACAGTTAAAAAACGGTTGTCGTTTCTAGAAAAGACAACAGTTATTAACCGTTGTCTATGTGCGTGGCTTACAACAACACCAGCTTCAACAACACTTAATAGACAACGGTTAAAAAACCGTTGTTGTTTCTAGAAAAGACAACGGTTATTAACCGTTGTCTATGTGCGTGACTTACAACAACACCGGCTTCAACAACACTTAATAGACAACGGTTAAAAAACCGTTGTTGTTTCTAGAAAAGACAACGGTTAAAAACCCTTGTCTATGCGCGGGACTTACAACAACACCGACTTCAACAACAGAAATTATACCCCTACGACAATGGTTATTAACCGTTGTCTATGTGCATTTTTCTTGTAGTGTTGGTTGAATGCAATATGGATCTAGGAAGCCATACCTGTCTTTTGATGCCAACTCAAAACTAATGTAAATACCCCAATTCACAAACACAACCAATTATATATAGATTACTAAAAATCATGATGATATTATAAATATAAAACTATTATGAACAAATAATACTAAAGAACTTATTACCTTATAAAGAACTTAAATAGAGAAATATCGATGGTCTTCATATTTAAGAATCGCATTAACTCCACACTTTCAAGGTGCAAGTCATACTCAATGTTGCCCATAATACCACAAGCCACATGGATCATAAGATTGTGTTCAAGATGGCTAGCTATTGTAGAGGCCTTTTTGCATACAACAGTCAATGAATCTAGATCAGCTATAGTGAATTCTTGATGATGGGATTGCACAACCGATTGAAAAGTTAATTTGGTCTTTTCTTTTAACTGTGAATTATAATATAAGTAAGAATTATTATTTTAAAAATTAAATTACTTACTGTTATTTTAAAATAGAAATATTTTCGGTGTACATACCGCATCAGCTTCAGTACATAACTCTACCAGCTTCTTTGGCCAAATAATAAAGTGTTGAAATGCAGCACCTAGAAGCCGAACCTCACTGGTGGGGATTGGTACATGTGCACTTGGATCAATAACTTGATTTACGCTCACCTTCACTTGATTTACATCCAGTACAACCCCATGAACCTGTGCACCACTGTAAGCTGTCCCATATGCCACTGGACGTCTAATTGGATCTTCTAAGAACAATTGACATCGTGCCCCTAACTGCAATAATTTATAATTAAGAATCATATAAAATGTTATTGATAAATAATAATAAGATCAACTATAAACGACTACTTAAAACCGGTAAATTAGCAAAAGGGTCCGGGGAACTAGCTTTGTCACTTTGAGATTGTGGCCCAGCATCCACACATACGTCATTCCCCTACTTTGATTGTACAGATTGGTGAACAGGAGTCTGCAGAGAACCAAATTGAAACATCATCTCAGCCATTCGTGCTTCAAATTGTTGATTTAATCGCTAACTCAATTCCTCCTGCTTAGAATTAAATTACTGATTTTGTTTTTCTAGCGCTTGTGCAACAGCAACATCAACAGTAGCATCAACCAAACGTTGAATATCTTCATAAGGCTTATGGCGACATTTTTCATGGCCAAATATACTTTTGATGCCATGTCCTTTCCCATAGCTCTAACACGTCCAGAATGCTCATCAGTACCCGGCGCAACAGTCAATGAATCTTGTTGTCCATCCTCAACAAATTCTCCTTGAGAAATTTGCAACTCAAGAGCATCCTAACGTATATAAAAACTATTCAATAATAATTACTATTAATGTAGTAAATTACAACATATTTACTTACAATTTTTTCCGCCACCAATCTAGTTGATTCGGTGCAAAAATTTATTGACTTATCCACTCTTGCTTTCTTCCACTTTTTGGCTCTACGTGGAGGACTTGGAGGAGTCATTGTATACGAAGGATCTGAATCAACACATACTTGATGTTTTCTTTCATCTTCTCTTCCATCATCATCTTCTCCAACCTTTTATATCCTCCTCGAGCTAAAAGATGTGGATGAATATTCTTAGCTTTTATGTCTTGATATTTTTTTCTTTTTGCCTACATAAATACAAAATATTAATCAAACTCATTCCATGTCCCTTGTTCAAAATATTGATAGAATAATAATGATACCTCATATTCTGAACCTGTATGATGCTGAACAAACTCATTACATGTCTTTTGTTCAAGGAAGTCGTATTTTTCACAAGGGTTCCTACCTTCTAACCGTATATATACTTGTTGGCCAATTTTTTTAAAAATCTTACCACCGGTCACCCACATAGGTTATCCAATGTTTCCTCATATCAATTGTGTCGGGAATATCATAAGAACTCTACAAACCAATATTATTTTTTAGTATGAAATGTAAAGAGTGAATTCCATTTTTGGTCCTACTGTTATAGGGGTCATTCCAATTTTAGTCCACTATAATTATTTTTGCCACATAGCGTCCACTATTATTAAAAGTGTTCCAATTTTTATGACACCCCGTAATCCAAATTCAATTAAGGGATTAATTAAGTAATTAATCCTAATTCAATTGGTAATTTAATTCCTTAAATTCCTGAAAATTCAATAGTCGGGACTAGTAATTGAATAGTCAACCCAAAGTCAAGGTTGTACAGCTTTGTGAGTAGTTCCCTTGTTCCCTTACACCTCTTCACTTTAGTAAGGGTATTCAAGACATTTCACCTTCTGTTGGTAATGTAAGCTAACCTAGTAGACACTCCCCATTCTTTCTCCTTACACTTTCCAAAACTTGAGCTCTTTCTTCTCTCTAAAAGTTAGATAGCTTTTCTCCCAAGCCAAATTGGAGCCTTGTCAAATCTTCAAAGGTTGTCTCCAAGATTCTACCTTTCATACATTTGAGCATCTAGGAGGGTAAGATCTATGTTCATCTTGTGTTTTTAGTGTTTTCTAAGGTGTCTTTCTTTAAAGATAGAATCTTTATGATCTTTTGGTGTGTCCTTGAAGTGGGTTTGGAAGGTGAGCCTTTTTAAGAGCTTGGTGAAGTGTTAAGTGAAGGTTTTTGTCTACAAGTGGTAACCCATGCTCTACAAAATCTATTTTGCTTACCTATATGATGATTTCTTAGATTCTACATGTGTTTTGCTATGAAATGTGAGTGTTTATGCATTGTCTTGTGAAAATGCATATCTAGAGCTTGTTATTAGGGTTTTTGTATGTCATTGCTTGGCTATTCCTTTGATTCAAGTCATTTTGTTGTATTTTGTGAGATTTGGCATGTTTTGGAATTGAATTTGAGTTTGGTGTTGAAAATCCCCGAAGGGATTATTTGGTATACAGGTATGTACCCGCGGGCGGAACGGCGGGCAGAGCCCTACCCGTCACCCCACCCGCGGGGTACAAGGCCGGTGGGTGTGGTACCCGCGGGCGGAACCACGGGTGGGGGTATACCCGTGGGTCCACCCGCGGGGAACAATGTGGAGTTGGGCGGGGATTTGTTCCCCGTGATTCTTTTGACTCGGTATTTGGTCTTTTGACTTCCCAATGTTCTTTTGTGGAACTATTTGAGTGTGTTCTTGATGTTTCGTATGTCTAGAACTATATGGTAGGATACCATGTAGGTTTTGGTGTCTTGAATCGTGCTAAGTGTTCAACATTGTGTTTCGTTGAACCATGATGAATCTTGTGTGTTCTTCGGAACTACGTTTGGTTTACCCGTTTGATAAGCATGCTAGTTCGGTGTTTAAATGCTAGCGTGTGTGTTGTTTGTACCTTCTTATTGGTTGATGATAACTTGTGTTATTCATCGTTGTTGTTGGACTGTGATCCATTCCTTAATTGAGTGTGGTTTCATATCTTCGTTGTGATCCGTTGATTGATTCCTGTGGTGGTGTGGTGTGTGTGGATGTACCTAGATTGCACGATTAGTGGTATGGGACACTAGTCACCAAGGTACGGCAGTGGTCCTCGTGGTGGCCACGTCGTGATTATGGAGTTTGTGACCTGTGTGTCGGGTTCACGTGTTTTGGAGAGGCGTGTGTCGCCGTGCGTGTGATCGGTACCTTGTGTACTATGAATTGGTGGTCTTGTTGGTGGGGGACGACGGTCCCAGGAGGAAAAAGGTTGGACTAAGAAGTACAGGGGTCCTGGAGGTAATGGTTGGAACTAGACATAAGTTTGGGGGTAGCCATAAGGTTGGAACCAGGCATAAGGAAGGCATATCAATTCGTGATGGGTGATGTCACGAAGGATTTTGTAGCCGTTGTTGTGAGTTCTGTTCTTGTGACGTGTGTAGTCACAAAGGCATGTGTTGCCATTGGTTGTGTCCTTATTCTCTTTTGTTATGCATGTCGGGTGTTAAATTACTGTGTGATGGTAGATTATACATTGAGCCGTTCTTGTGAGTCGTTGTATCTCATGTGGTCTTGGGATGTGTTCCCTTATCTTTATTGTGAGTGCAAAGAGTCTTGTGTTTGACTTCTATCTTGGCTTTGAACTTATATATACTATATCCCGTTTCGCAAATGATTTTGTATATATCCTATCTATGTATGATACTTAACAGGTATTGGTGGGTTACCAGCATTATTCGCTGACCGGGCGTCGTCCCATATCTTATGTGTTTCTTTCAGGTGATGAGTAGACGAGAGCGCGGTCTAGAACCTGTTAGCTTAGATTCCCTTTGTTTTGAGACGTTATGGTCTGTGTGCCAAGGATAGACACTAGTACTTTTGTTATGTATGGATTTTAGATTGTGGTTTATGCAGATGTTAGCCTGTGCGTTCACCTCTGAGTGAGCGTGGCATAGCACCCTTTTCATTTCCAATTTATATCATCATTGCTTAGTCTTCCGTTGTGTATGATGTTTGGCTACTGATCTGCATGTTTAAGGTTTAATGTAGCATGGAAATTAGGGGGTGTTACAGTTGGTATCAGAGCCTAGATTTGAGCCTAGGATGATAGAGTCTAGACTTCTAAGTGGTTAAGTGTGGTTTGAGACCTTAAGATGACCGTAAGAATCTAAGTGCTTAGGACTTAGGATCCTTAGGACGCGCGGTGAGGTTGTGAGATCTTTTATCGTTTTTTATTGTGTTGTCTGTGCTTTGTATTCCTTTTAGCTTTGGTTCTCTTTAGTTAAGGTACCAGGTAAGGGTGCGGGCCCTGAGTTTCCTCCCGTATCGTGCTGTTGCTATAGAAGTCAAGAATGGCACCGTCGAGACGCCGTGCAAGGTCTTCAGAAATAGTCACCAACGATCAGTTAGCTCAAAGCTTCCATCAACTGACGCAGATCACCCAGACGCTGAGCAACGCCCTCCTCAACAACCACCCTCTTCAGTTTGGGAATCGCGACGTGGTATGCCAAGTCGCAAGTCTCCGTCCCCCGATCTTCGCCGGTGAAGAAGATCCCGTAGTGCTGGACGAGTGGATCCGGAGGTTTGACAAGATCTTCAAAGCTGTGGTTTGCCCGGAGGATCGCCAGGTGGAGTTGGCTACGTTCTACCTTCGGCAAGAAGCGGATTCGTGGTGGATGCTTGTAAGGCCAATCTGTAGTCAAGATCCGAAGTTCAGTTGGGAGGACTTGAAGGTCAAGTTACGTGAGCGGTTCTATCCTGCTCATGTCAAGGAGGCCTACCGTGGTGCAGCTGACCTTTATCGTGTGCAGCAAGTTCAGAAAAGAATCCAGGAGAACCGCAAGAAGAAGCTTGACGAAAGTGTTTCAGCTGTGGTTAGGAGTTTGATGGCTACTAGTGTTGGATCAACAAGAAGCCTGCAAAGGGACGACTCTAAGAGAGGTAAGGCTCCCCAGCCAATCCGGAAGATCAAGGCTAAGGGAAGGCGCTCCGTTTGCAAGAAGTGTGGAAGTGACCACCCCGGCGTGGATTGTCTTAGGAAACCGATAGAGTGCTTTGCTTATGGCAAGAAGGGTCATCGGTCCTTTGAGTGCAGAGCTAAAAGGAAGACTTCAGCAGACTCAAAACCAGTTGGTGGTGTAAGGCCCCGATCGAGAAGTAAACATCGAAACGGAAGCAACAATGGACTAAGTGGAAATGGCATCCCAGACCTGTGTACGAAGTCGGGACCTCGACAAGATAAGATCCACGGTCGTGAGGCAGATGCAAGGTGGGAACCGTTGAAGTAAGCTCTTGTATCTTTTGTTGCACCTCCCTTTGTCTTTGTACCTTTCCTTGCGTGTTAGCTTCGGGCATTAGCCAGTTAGAGTGTTACCCTTGACCTTCGTTAATCTCTTCTTTCCTTCAGACAAACCCAATCACCATTTTTGCCAAGTGATCATTTTCTTCCGAACCTTATCCTTGTGTTCTTTCCAAACCATCTTGTGCATGGCGGCGGTGACATCAGCTTATGAAAGAATCTGGCAAGGGTTAAGAGTTAAGCCGCGCCGAGTGGAGGTAGAGAGTCTTCA